AGCATACGAGAAAATAGACTTCTTAGAGAACTTTTAGAAACAGGAAGCTAGCTTAATAGATATCAGATTCACTGACAAAAACATTGAGGCGAGAGATTCAAACTGTTCTGACAATATTGTCTCACAGAACTTCAATTCAACTCTCTCTCCTTGGCATAATTCGTGACATTCCCGACCTGAATTCAGATTCAATTTCAGGTGTTTCGGATAATTCCTAACTGCTGCTCGCTCAACAAATCCTATCGGCCTATGTGGTAAATCACTTGAGCACTTTGCCAGCGACGGACCAAGTTTCCATTAGGACGCTCCCACCCCCTCGCTCGGCCACTCTGCCCCCGGCGAGCTAATTCACTGACTTTGGTGGACACATTCGGGAATTTCGCTTTAGTTGCGCTAATTTAATGGAAGGTGCGTGGCTGCAAATTCGCCACCTGCTCAATGCGAAGCTCTCCTTATTTTTTTGTTCGGGGTTTGCGGCACGTAGAAAATAAGCAGCGCGAGGATTGGGCGAGAGTGGCTCATCCATCGGACAGCTGCTGACACAACAAATTGAAGCTGCGCCGCGTGGAGCACTCCCAAATGCATCCAGCTACCACTTAGTGGCGCCCGAAACAAAATTGTCAAAGTAATCGTAATTGCAACTTCTTTTGCTTACACCCTATCCCCTATTCCCCCCTCTCTCTCTCACTCCTGTTGACTGGAGCGCGCGCTTGTTCATTTAAATTCACACGCGCTGCAATAAAATGAAAGCCCTGAATGAGCACTCAGACAATCCAATCGACTGGCTGCTAGCCGTGCGGCTCTTTGTAACTGCACTTGCAGCAAGTTGTGGGCGAGGGGGGTGGGAGTGGGGATTTGCCACAGTGTTTGGCTTGCGTCGCTGCAATTGTCGCGCTCAGAGGATACGGCCTTTTATTGACTCTGCTTTGGCACGGCTCTCTCCAGCCATTCGCCACGCGCAGCAATTTCATCAGAGCTCCCAATTGGCTGTACTCGGTGAGAAGCCGCATGCCACATGCCATGGGAGCAGAGCTGTGGCAATGGAGGCGTGGCAAGCGAAGGCGTACTCCAACTAACCCACACCAAGCCAGCCCCCTCCTCAAGCAAACACGCGAAAGTGGAGCCTCCTCATTCAGAGTATATATTTGGCCAACAAGCGCTATTTAGTCAAACCAAACGCCTGACGCTTCGATCAAATTTTTATTTCACAATAATCAAGAACGGATAAATGAACCAAAAGGGCCTTTTGTAATCACGGTAAATCACTTCGGGCTCGGGCGTCCCCAGCACTTGACAAATTGACGAAGTCCGGTTCGCCTGGACTTGGCTGAGCCACGAAGATGCTCACCCGACCGGCCCTGGCCAGAGGTCGGCTCAGGCTCGCATTTCTATGGGGGAGGGCGGGTGAGGGCCGGAACGCAATGAGGGAGCTAATTGGTTAACTACTACTACTAGTATATTGGCATCGATGCTCACCTCAATCGGCTGCACTGGCCTATCATCTTCGCTCTGCGGCGACTGTGGCGACTGAGGGCCCTCACTCGATAGATCCTGAGTCGATAGATCCACTGGGCTCAATTGGCAGCTGCTCGAGCTGCTGGAGCTGCTGCAGCTGCTATCGGTGGGGCGTCCACGGCCGATATAGGTCGAACTCCACTTTTCCATGCTCGCTGTAATATTGCGAATCTCGGCTCGGGACTCCTTGAGAGCTGCCCGATAGCCCATCACCAATTTACGCGAGGCCTTCTCGTTCAAGTCGGTGTTCACCTGCGGAAGATAGTTAGGAAATTGATCAACGAGAAGGACCATTGCCCTACCAGGAGATTCTTAATTGTCACAGTTGCTTCTTTCACCACTTCGTGCTCGGCAATCAGCTCCGGCTGCAGTTCGTTTAGTTTCATCAGGAGAGCCCGTTTCTCGGTCAAGCAGTTCACCAGCTCCTGCTCGCGTGTTGTGACCAAAAGCTGCAATGGCATCGTTGTCCATCATCAGTGAAAGGACCAGTTGGCAGTGCCATCTCCGTATACTCACTTGGGCCTTGTCGGCGATGCGGCGCTGCTCACGGAGACTGGTCTTCAGCTCCGAGTTTTCGGTCATCAAATCCTGCATCTTCTCAGCACTTATGAGCTGCTTTCTGTCGCGCTCTGCCAGCTGCTGCTTCAATATGGCGATCTCGTGTTTCTTGAGCTCGAGCTCTTGTTTGGCCTTGTGCGCTTCGTCCATTTGGCGGTGCACCTGTGGCAAAGGAGTTCAGAGAGAGAGGGAGATGGAGAGCGAGATGGAAGCGTACTCACCTCTCTTTCGCGATCTGCCAAGTGCTGTTTCAATAGTTCGATCTCCAGTTTGGTCTTGTGTAGTTCGTCCATTTGGCGTTGCACCTGCGGCGAATGGTTTGTAGTTACTGTGAGAAAGAGAGAGAGAGAGCGAGGAGTACTCACCTCTCTGTCGCGCTCAGCCAACTCCTGCTTTAGTATCTCAATCTCCTTCCTGGACTTTTGCAAGTCGTCCATTTGGCGATACATCTGTGGCATAGGGGTTGATGAGAGCGAGAGAGAGAGAGGGAGATAGAAACAGGGGGTTACTCACCTCTCTGTCACGCTCAGTCAACTGCTGCTTCACTTGCTCGAGTTCCCTTTGAGCATTGCGCAAATCGTCCATTTTGAGCTGCTCCAGCTCCGTCGGAGACGGTGTCTCTTTGAGCTTGAGACGGTCCTCCTGTGAACGGGGCTCGCGAGCGTAAAGGATATGCAACGGTGTCTCCTTCTATGGATGGAATGCGCTGATAACTAATCGAACTGAGGATTGGAGACTAGCTTCACTTACCCTCATCTGGGCAATGTAGCTCTCGAGCTTGGCGATTTTGGCTTGACTGCCGCGAATGAACTCCTTTTCGCGATCTTCGTGCTCGGTCATGGCGTCAGCCGCTTCCTGGAGCAGCTGTGTCTTTTCTAGGATCTCCAAGCGTAGTGCTTGGATCACGGTCTTCAAACCCTCTAGTTCCTTGTTTTTGGCGGGATTGCCGCCATTGTCTTTGAAGTAAAGACGCAATTTCAGATTGAAATTCTCGTTACGCAGCCGTTCGATCTCCTCGTCCAAGTCACGGGAGGTACGGCCTAGCAGAGAGTTCGACTTGGGCTTTAGGTCTGAAGCAAAAGAGTTATGAGAATGGGAATGATAGCCGAACGGGCTCGGACCATTCTGTGAAGGCCCCCTTGAAGCCATTGTTGAAATTTTGCGTAAACCACCAATTCCAATAATTTCAATAATAATAATATGTACAAAAACAATATAATATTTATGCTTATTGTCGCTGAACCGATTTAGACCGCATTCAAATATAGTGTTTCACATTGGCTGGTGAATCCAATTTATAGACTAATCACTTTTCGAATAATGCGCGAATGGCGAATACTCGTTAATGAAATCGTGCTCCAAAAAAATTGTTAAATTTAAAAAATATATTTCTTAAGGAATATGTAATGCTAAGAAGATTATTTTGAAAATGAGCTCTCCAGCAAATGCTCCGAGCTTAAATGGGAAAAAATGCCCGAATTTAAAGTCAAGGCTACTTTGATTTGCAACTAAATCGAACTTTGGTGTAGGCAAAGAAACAGAGAGAGAAAGAGAGAGGGAGACGGAAACAAAAAGAGAAAAGGTTAGAAATGACAGCAGAGAGAGAGAGAGACAGAGAGAGAGAGAGAGACCGAGAGAGAGAGAGAAGGCTCGCTTCTCTTTGTCCTCTGAATAGAAACTGATTCCATTGGCAATTTTCCTGTCACTCTCTAAGAAGAACGTTTCCCCGCACTTCCCCTGCTCAGATACAGTCTCAGCAGCATTCTTCAGCTAGTCTTGCTCTCTTAACTACTTTTTGCCTACGAATAACTTGTTTACGCTTCACGCATGGCCAATAGCAACAAGTCAATTGACGGGAAATACACATGCCTAAGGCATAACTGGACTGGCTGCCGAATAGTAATTGCAAATGCTTCAGCACATGGCCGCAAGGCCAAAGTGAAAAGTTGCGAAATTATGTTAGCTTAATACTTCATGGCTCGATCCACTGGGCAGTGCAAATTGGCTTGAAATATTTATGAAAATAGCGTGGCAAAAGGGTCAGCAGAACGGCAACGGCAGCAAAATAATACGATGAATAAATGAAAGGGTTTGCTCCGGCCCAGCTGGCGAAGCGAATCAATTCCTAAATAATGTGAACGATAGACGATAAAGCATAAGGTAAAGGCATTTATTATTTATGTATATGCAAAATCTGTGCGAATGTCGTGCTCTGTGGTTGCTGAACGGCTCGAATCAGCAGCTGGACGGGCGGACGGCCGATGCCGATGCCGATGCTGGCCACAGCAGAGCGCGAACGTTAAGCACAGTCAATTAGCGAGCTGATGGCCTCTTTAATCCAATAAGGACATGAAATGAAACCAATATCGATGGATGGACAGATGGCTGAGGGCTTGCCCGGTGAAGCGGTCAATCGGCACGGGGGGCGGGGGAGGGGAGGAGTTGGGCGCGAATCGAACATATTGAAAAGTTTTCAGCAAAGGGCTGCCGCGACCGAGGATAATTGGGTAAAAAGACAGCGCCGTCCATCCGTCCGGCCGTTTCGCTCGCTCTGACCGCTTCAGCCGTTCAATTAGTCGACACCGTCGATGTCACCGTGGGCGTCGGCGTCGGCGTCGGCGTTTACGTGCTCGACCCGCGCGCCGAGAAAAATAAATCTCAATAATTCAATTAATGCGTCACTTAATTAAAACTCAATTTTTGCCTTGTTTTTAATTGACATTGCTCCTCGTTTTCTCTTGCTCTTGCTCTCGCCCCCGCCTCTCGCCACACCTTGGCCGCCTCCGGATGATGCTGCCACTCCTGCTGCTGCCACTCCTGCTGCTGCTGCTCCTGCTGTCGTCGGCTGGCTGCGCTGCCTTACTTTGATTGACTGTCATTGCCGGACGCTCATCACTCCACCCGCTGCTGCCCTGCTGCCCCTGCTGCCCCTGCTCACTGCATCCGCGTGACAGCAGCGTTGTGGCACAGATCACCACACAGCCGCAGCTGGTCGTTGCCGATCCGAATGGTAATCATGATTCTGGTTATGCAGCATCAAACGTTGACGATGTCCTTGCAGGAGTGAGCGTGGGCGCCGCCATCAGCAGCACTACGCCGCCGGACAGTCCGGTGCCCAGCGGCGCCACCCTCCACCGCTCCAGTGTCAGCAGCCGGCGCAACACCGCCGAGGACTCGCCCAAGCGCGGCGAGCCGCCGCTCAGGTATGTTCACAAATTAGCAAAAACCATATTTGACGAATGCCGCATCAGCTGAGCAGCCACAGCAAAGCATTTCGAGCTCCCTTTCCCTGCAATGTTCGTAAGCCGTAATCAGGCTTAAAGAGAGAGAAAATTGAGAAATATATATGTACATATATATATATGTATGTGTATCATTGTAGAGTTAAGTACTTTCACTCTTTAACTAGTATTCTTCTCATTCAGTAGCATAAAAGTGAATCAAATTTTAAGCAGAGCATTAGAGCTCTTGAGACTATCGATGACAGCCTCGTCTGTCATCCACTTTTGCAATAGTTCGATGAATTTAGTTTGATGTGTTTATGTCAACTTCCTTAACAGATAGCTAGAACTACATAGGTATGTTTTTATGCTTCATCAGTGCTTCAAGATGGTGTTAAGATTGATATACATATATGAACACCTGATTCTACTTGTAATACATCAAGCCATTTACTTTAAAGCTACTATCTCAGTAAATTTATTGGTAATGTGGAATTGATTTATTAAGTTTAGCTCTCAAGTCGATAGACTTGAACGTCAATAATTTCGATGACTGAAATCAATCACATTATCGATGATTTCTATGTGCTAAGCCATGTAAAATATTCTATAATACATAGTTCAGATTAGTTTAATCCCAGTCAGGGAAATAGAAAGAGAACTGTTTTGAGAGCACATTAAATGCCCGATTAACCTATTCTCTACATCGCGTCACATTGATTGACAGAACTCTTTATATGGCTCCTCCTCCTCCTGACTTTTGCTGTACGAAAGCTGAATGCTCTCAAAGTAAACACAACTTCTACAATCCTTCTACAATTCCTTAATCCTATTAACATCTTTTTACTTATACCCATGAATCCTATTCTTCTTTCCTAATGTCATTCTAGTTGTCATTATGGCACTACATTTGTCGATAGCCTTTTAGCTAGTTATCGAGAGTTATTCATAATAATATTTCCTCTGAATCCTCTTATTCGTCAATTATAATGCTATGCCTTCCAATTCCTATAGGCCAATATATCGATAGTTTCATAGATATAGTTATCAATAGTTAACTACAATGCTATCGACTCTATTGTCCGATATAGATATATAGCTTATATAGTTTTCGATAGTCAATTATGATTTTATCGCCCCTATTGGACTGTATAATGTTTTCTTTGCAGTTAGTTATCGATAGTTATAATGTTATACCACTTATTGTCCCATATATGGGTCTCTTCGTAGTTAGTTGTCGATAGGCACGCCACTTATTGGTCTACATATCGATTTCTGAATATTTACTTATCGATAGTTAAATAAAATGATATCCTCTCTAGATCCTATTAACCTGCTCTAGCTGTAAACTTTGTTAATAGCTACTTATATTTATATTGTATATATCGTATATATATTATATTAGCCAAGTGCCAAGAGCTGACCAAATGTGTTTTTTGTTGTTTTTTGTTGTTCTTGTGCCTTACAGCAGCAGCGTCGCCATGAAGCCATTGTCCTTTGTGCGCTACGGTGTGCAGGAGGCCATGACTTTGGCACGCAACGACTCCACGCTATCGACCACATCGAAAACGTCCTCGCGCAAGGATAAGAAAAACTCGCAGGCGTCAAGGTGAGTTCCCGCCGCCGCAATTGCCAAATTGCAGTTATTAGCTGCACTCGGGCTAATAGCTCGACACTTGCTAACCACTCCGCCCTCTCTCTCTCTCTCCCTCTCTCTCTCTCTCTCTCTTTCTGTCTCTTTTTGTGTTCATATCTCCGTGCTTCGCATGCAACTCGAAATGCAATTTACTCTGGCATGATTATCGTGACCCTTGCGTGCCGTAGATTCACGATATACAAGGTGCACAAGGCCTCGAAAAAGAAACGTGAAAAATCGTCGGCCAAGAAGGAGCGCAAGGCCACCAAAACCCTGGCCATCGTTTTGGGTAAGTCCGATCAGAGCCCAAAGGGCAAACATGGATAGATTATTGTTGCTCAACTCGTTCTGATTATAATTTACACTGATTGCTGTCTGCATTTGCATCAATCTTATTCGTTTCTCTCTGTTCTTCTCTGCTCTCTGTCTCCCTCATTAGGCGTCTTCCTCTTCTGCTGGCTGCCATTCTTCACGTGCAACATCATGGACGCGATGTGCGCCAAATTCAACGAAGACTGCAGGCCCGGTCTGACGGCCTTTATGCTTACCACTTGGCTGGGCTACATCAATAGCTTTGTCAATCCCGTTATCTATACGATCTTCAATCCGGAATTTCGCAAGGCATTCAAGAAGATCATGCACATGGGGTGATTACAATCAGCAGCAATAGCACCGACACGAACAACCGGTAAACATCAGCAGTGTTTAGCTAAAGCTCTCCTGATCAATATGTAATCACTAGAATCGATCGTCGATCGATAACTCAAAACTCGAACTGTGCCAAATGCAAACCAAAATGAAATTGAACTCAAAGCTCGAAACTCAATTAGACTCCTAAGATTGTTCATAGTCTCAGCATTATATATATATATATACGTATATACCTATATATCTATATAGCATAGTATATGGCCCTGTATATAGCATCTAAAGTTTGATCAAATCTGTTGTATGTATTATACTCGATTGCATAGGCTAAGGACTCTGAGCTGTAGGCTAGGCACCAAATTTTTAACATTTAGCTAATGTCTAACATAAAGTTTTAGTTAATACTCCAGTAAATAGACCGATTTATCGATAAATACTTATATATACATAGTTATCGATACCGTAAAATATGGCAATTGTACCGTTACTTGATGTGAGATTCTTTTAGATCGTAAGAGTTGTGTCGCTGTCACGAAAGAAAACCAAAAACTGAGTTTTCGTATTTACTATATGGATGGATTTTCGTATATACATATAGTATATTTACTTTACATATCACGCATTCAGTTTCTGTGAATTTGTACGCAACTGTACAACTGTACTTTGTCCCCCCTCAAGCAAATCCAACGATGGCTGAGCATATCCTAAGCGCGAAAGATCCCCCTACCCGATCCCACCCCCGCTCGTTTTTGATACTCGACTTCAATGCTGCGCTAATCATAGTTAAGAGAGTTAAGAAGCAAACAAAACTAATCAACATGAGGCTAGAGGGTAGGTCTACCTATTAGATATACGCATATACGTGTAATATTAATGTTAGTCCAAAGCAGGGGCTCAAACTCAGCGCCCAACACGAAATCATCGAGTGACAAAGAGAGAGAGAGAGAGACAGAGTGAGAGTGTGAGAGAGAGAGAGAGAGAGTGGTAGACTGCTCTAGTATGCAATCAGCTATCGATAGGCTCATTGATTACAATTTCTAACTGCAAACAAGAACTAATTAGACCACTGATGTAGCAACAGTAACTGCAGAATATATGAATAAGTCGGGAATAAGTCGAGAGTAATTCCCTTTTTTCCATGTTAGATCTAATCAATGAGCTTTGCAATCGATAGCTGGCTACGATGTTGCTATCGATAGTTTTGAATGATGACTAATGCACACACACACACACACACACACACACACACAGGCAGACAGACAGACGCACACTGAAACAAATGAGCCCCACACAAATATATATATTTATATATCGTATATACCTATATATAGATATATATATATATATATACATGCATAGATATGCAAATTGACGCTGAGTTTGATCGGACTGCTTGAGCCACACATTCCTTGGTTGTAAAAAAAAACTACATATAAATAGAATAGGTAAATAATTAACAGATATTCAAGATGTTATTAGCAGAATGTAAGCGCATTTAAAACTAGGCTAAGCAACAGCTAATTCAAGTTAGCCAACCAAAATACGGCCCCTCCCCCCTACCCACAGTACTTATAATAACCGATAGCTAAATACGTACTCGGAAACGGGTACTCAAATGGAAAAACTAAATGAATATGATTATACGAATAAGTTGCATCAGGGTATCTAAAGCGTAGGCGTACAAATTATTAGGGCTAAGCGAAGGCAGACGCATAACAATTCTATGAAAACAAAAAAAAAACACGATATATACACACATACACATACATAAATATATACATATATATATACTAATTGCTAAGTAAATGTAATGTGAAAACTTCATTTGAAACCTGGACCGAAATAATCGCCCAATTCATCAACGGATGCCGTCTTGAATTTGCTTAATGCTGATGCTGTTGGAGGAGAGCTGATAACACACACACACACACACACTCATAAGCATACACACTAAAAATACTAAAGAGACCACAATAAAATACTAAATGTAAATGGGAAGCGATTTGGCAAGCGAAGAGCCTGAATTTCGAACTGCTTGGAGTACGCCCCTTGCTCACAACCAAAGAAATAAACAAATGGAAACGAATTTAAAACGGCATCACAATACATACACACACACACACACACACATGCATACTAGATTTTGGTCCCTGTTTTCAAAAACCGTCCTCTTCATTGTTTCTATGTGACAAATAATGTAAAATTTAATAAAAAAAAAGAAAAAGAAAAAGAAAGCAAAAGCAAAACTCAAAGCATATTCAAAGAATGATAAACCTAAAAAAAAAAAAAAATTAAAAAGAAAATACTATATATAAATATATACTAAGAATTATCTAGAGAGAGACGTACGCCGTTCTGTGTAGGCTAAACGTTTCCAGCTCATTATTATGGAACCCTCTAGGAGAAGCTCAACAAATTTTTATACTTTCCTAAAAAGTGAAAATGAAATGAGAAAAAACCAAAATATTCAAGAGCATAAATAAGTGTGTAATTTTTTTTTTTTTTTTTATTTTAATAATTATAGATAAACGTATTTCTAATATACATAATATTCGAGATTCTTAAAGGTGCGTTATGAGTGTTAGTCAATAGCTCTAAGGAACAGACAAATTAACAGAAAAAAAAAGAATATACTATATATATATTTGAGATAAAAGAAGAAGAAGAAGGAATTATTATAGAGATAGTTAAGTTCTTCCAAAGAAAACGCTTATTAGTTATAGAAGAGTGGGTTGATCAAGAAGTTTCAGTGCGATTCAATTGATGGAGTTGGACGTGGTTGGGCATTGCCTTGGATGTCGCCTCGGGCTAACGATCACAGATATTACTAATATATACGAGTGTTGTTGAGTTCACAGTTTCTGTTTGACTTTGTTTCATATTAATCCAATTAATCAATTGTTACACTTGTTTTTAAATTAAAAAATAAAAATAAATAAAAGATTATATAGAAATATTTAAGAGCATAGTCTGTAAGCGCCCTCAGCACTATCATGACGATGATTGCAACCTAAAAGGCAACTGCAAAGAGGCTAAGAGAACAAAATGAAAAACCAAAACAAGAAGAAGAAGATGACCTACGTACAGTAAGACAACAATAAAAGGCACAACAATTAAACTAAAACAAAGTAAAGCAAGTAAATAAATAGAACAAAACATATATTATATATAGAAAAGATGAACAAGAAGAAGAAGAAGAAACTGAAAATATTTTAAAGCAATGATAATGTTGATTTTTTTTTTCTAGAATCTAATCAAATCTAAATTAATTAATGTAATGCAAATTAAATGAGAATACTAGATCTGTAAGCGTGCGCGGACTGCTAAAGATTCCGAATTGAAATTAATTGCAAACTATTTCGACTTTATGCAAGCATTACATAATTACCATAGCATTAACTATAGCAAAGCAACAACAACAGCGCCATGAAATGTCAAGAAATGAGATCGACGGGCACGAAGAACATAACAAATAATAAACATCAAATAAACACTAAAATGAAAATATTTCAAACCAAACCAAATCGTTTTAATCAAACGGGGAGCATTCAGTGGGGAACAGATGGTAGAGTCTCCGATTGGGTACAATCGTACAGCTCTAATAGATCTGCGACGGCTAACAGCGACATCTGGCGGCGTGAATGTTGTCACACAGCAAAGTAAACCCCTCTTCCATCATCTGCTATTGTGTGATTACCAGGAGGTTTCAGTGCTGCGTAGGATCAGAAAAAATTTGGAATATGAGTAAAGCGAGAGAATCGCAGTCTTTGCCCTCCAACTTTCGTCAGGCTAGAGCTCAATGCTGATCCTATAGAACGTATAACGTATGTTAATCACATATTAAATATAATAATCTAACAAAGAAACAGAAATATCTTATATAATATCGCATTCAAACAGGGTTTTTTATTAATTCTCATACTCATTTATGAAAGTAACATGGGTATATTGGTTTTCTACAATATCCGCTTTGCTGTGCGTCCATCTGTCCCTTCGTCTGTCCATCAAGCTAGCTGCTTAAAAATTTGGATATTATTTTCAGGAATACTCAATCGAGAAATCTAATTTCTGGCAACTCTACAAATCAATCTAGTTGAAGTGCTAGAGTGTTGAAATTTGAAAGTCAAAAAGATATGCCAGATGTACATGGCTGTGCATATTCGACGAACCCATCTGGCAGCCCCATATCGCTTGACAGAAACGGACATGAGTCTCTCGAATATAGGCAACCTTCTATCGGATCTATCGATAAATAGTTAAGTTAGCTTTATAGTTGTGAGTCTCTAGCTCTCAACCCACTCTACAACCTTGGATAATGAGATATATTTCCAGTCAGGATTGTTCATGTGGATCGAGGCTTATAGGTGAAGTGAGGGACTACTTTAATAATATTGAATTGAAGATTGAATCAAGCAATTATCGCATTGCTGAAGAGTATATCCTCATCGTCTTCATCTTCTGAGGCGAAGTCTTCTGGTAAAAATGTATTTGATGCCTGTAAAGGTTTTGAGTGGGCTGAGAACCGATGAGAGCAGGCAAAGCTCCCTCTCTACACTCCCATTCCAACTGACAGAATAGCACGCTGATATCTAAGCCAGAGACAACCATCCTCCTCCTCCTCCTCCTCCTCCTTTTCCGCCTTTCCTGCTGGTGGCGCAGAAACCGCAAGCTGCAAATGCAACCACAAACACTAGATTTGCTTGGACCCAGGGAATATTTCACCCATGCATGCTTGAGCTCAAGTCGTTAACTGATAACAGAGCCAAGCCAAGCCAAGCCAAGCCAAACCAAACCATATTTTGCGTGACAATTAAATTTGATTGTGAAGGAATAAAAGTTTCGGTAAATCAATAAGAAATAAAACTTTGCAGCAGCTGAAACCACACACGAACTGCTTGTGGCTCATCGAACGGTTCAAGTTTCTCTGGCAGAGCGAGATTTTTCGGGTATTTAATATGACAACATTTTTGGCATTCAGGCCAAGTAGTTCTGTATATACATATATATATACATATGTATGCATGTGTGTATACACTGGCAGCATTATATGGCATTTATATGAGCTGATAATAAAATTCCAATAAGCATGAAAAGAAATAAAAATACTAACACGAGACACACACCGAGCGAGCACAACAGCAACAAAGGCACTGCCTTGTGGGCGGAGCGGGGTGGGGCGTCGTGGGGCGGTGTGGGGGTGGGGGCGTTGCGCAGCACAAAGCTTTAAGTAACTGCTAAAAGGACGAAGGGCAAGCCTCAATGGCTGCTCAAAATCAATTCGAGACCGAGAAACCAAAAACGTAACTAAAAGCGTCTAAATAGATAAATGCATAGAGGTTAGCCAGTGTTTGTTGTTGTTTATTGTTGTTGTTTGTTGTTGTTGTTGTTGTTGCTTGTTGTTTGTTGTTGTGTCCACGCAATGCTTCGTGTGTGCCTTCAGCAGCTTCTAATGGATACTTGAGCACTCGAATTCAGATGCCAAAGCCAAGGCGATGACTGTGAGTGTGAGAGTTGTCTTTGTGCGTGTGTGTGTGTGTGTGTGTGTGTGTGTGTGTGCGTGTCTACTCTGTATTTATGAAGAGTCTCCTCTACAGCTGGATCACTAGACACGTAAATCGAATGCCAGCCATATAAATAGTAATGCCAATACATAAACATATATACAGATACATATACATATATATTTATATATGTATACTAATACTAATATATTTGTGTCAATTTTCAATTGACAACATTTGCTTAACAGCTCGGCCATGCAATTAATTTTTCTGTCCGCTTTGCATTCAGTTTCTGTTGCCCTTTGATTTATAGGCCTTGGCAGGGAACTTTTCTCCCCTTTCTCTACTTTTCTACTTTTCCCTTTTCTTGTTTTTTTTTGTAGCTGTAGCATTTTATGGTGTGCTTAACGACTGGCCCGAGTCCCGTCGTCTTCATCATCGTGGCCGCGCTGCGCCCAGCCATTGCTCA